ACAGACAATATTCAAGTTCAGTTTTTTTTTTTTTTTACAAATTCCTACCGAAGCATGGATAACGCATTGATTTTTTTTTTAAATATATATATTTTACATTTAATACAAGAAAAGTTGCAATAAGATTCCAAAAGGACCAGTGCAAGTACAGTATGTGTTTTTCAGCACACATGAATAATACAGCAGACAATACTTTGCAACCACAAAGAAAAAATAAGAGAGTTTGTCTTAAAGTGACACTTAACTCAGGAGTTAAATGTCTGTGAAGGTTCTTATTCATCCAGGTCATGGTATATCTGTAAAAAATAAGTCAAGGCAACTGGTCTTGCTGTATTTTTCTTTCAAGACTTTTCATTGGACATCCAACCAGCTTTCTCAATTCAGAACTCTGGTCAGATGTCCAGTGAAAAGTCTTCAAGAAAAATACAGCAAGTCCAGTTGCCTTGACTTATTTTTTTCAGGAGTTAAATCTTAAAAATGCATTCAAGTACCTCAACTATTAAGAAAAATGTATCTTATTTGTGTGTCAATCAGCTGCAGATCCTCAAATCACATCTGAATTCATGCTGACACTGTCCTTCCTTCTGGAGGCTGGCTACTTTTGTTCCCTAGGGTCCCTGTGTGTGTTGTAAAATAGCCACCGCTCCAAGCTCACTCTTCGAGTGAGCTTGGAGCGGTGGCTACATTACAACACACACAGAGACCATGGGGACCAACAGTAGCCGCCCTCCAGAAGGAAGGACAGTGTCAGTATGAATTCAGAGATGATTTGAGGATCTACAGCTGAGTGATGCAGAGATGAGTTACATTTTTGGTAATAGTTAAGGTACTTGAATGCATTTTAAAGTTTTAACTCCTGAGTTTAGTGTCACTTTTAAATATGTTTTAGCCACAAATTACTGAGAGGTGGTCAAGATCCCTGTAACAAACTGTTTATTTTCTGGTAATACTGGGCCTAAAAGCAGGATATGTGTAACCTCGCATTGATCCTTTCCTATATCGAGTCTAATGTTACTGCACCATGAGATATTACAATACTGGAAGTCGACAATAATGGGAAAGCCTATTATAATATACAGATGATTTTGACGCTTTGACTATTTCTTTGAACAAAACAGTCTTGAACTTGAGTCATAATAGTATAAACACTGACAAACTAAGATTTGAGAACGTCGGTTTCCCAAAAGGAAAGAAGACACAATACCAGTTATAAAAATAACAAACCAAGAGTGATTGCATTTAAAAATATACAGGATGCATGCAAATTGAGAAAAGTTATTTTGGTTTCATAATGTAATCCTGACCTGATGAGCTATCAAATTCCTTGGTGTCCTCGTCCTTCTCTTCTTCTTTTGAATCTTCTAATTCTTTTCTGTACTCCTCTGCAGCCTGGTTTTCTTGCTCCTCAGTGTGTGCATTTTGCTCATCCACCACTAAAAGGACAATACATTGCCTTACTGTCACAAAAAAACACCTCATCAGGTGAGTACATTTTTTATAGCTGTTACTGCGACTGAAATGCCACAAAATGTCAGGACTGAACCAAATTGTATCCACTCCCTCAGGCTGCAAGAACCTTTAAATGTGCAGCATAGGAAACATTTCACATTGACACACCCTGGGCACAGCCAGGTGTGGTTCACACAAGCACAATTTTATAGGGAAAAAGACAAGACACCATAAGGTCTTTTGTGTTAGCATCTCAAATATCCAGACGAATGATATCATGAAAAAAATATACAAACGTGGTTACACAAAACCACTTGAATTTTAGGTAGCTAAAGGAAGCTGCTGTAAACATTAAAAAAAATGGAAATCTCAGCATTTTTTTTTACAAGACTAAATCTGTCCATGATTAATGTGCTGCTTATTAATTAGGCAAGGGGAACTGACAATGAACACAAAGAAAAGACGCTTGGGGTATATGCACCTAAAAATTAGATATTTCATTTAAAATCTGCAACCTTTCTGAACTGAATATTCTGGTTATATCCCATACATATACATTCTGGAATTAATGACATCATTAGTAAAGAACCAATGGTCACAAGGACCTTTTCTAGCAGCAGTAATGGTCAGAAAAAGAAGAATATACCAGGATTACTGTAATATAAAATAAATAAACATAGACAGTGTGACATATTGCAATTTAGGAGTCAAGACAAAACAACCCACCCACCTTTTTCAGCTTGTTCTATGATTTGCCTGACTGCTTTTTTTAAGCTGTTGGCTCGCAGCATTAACTGCTCTCGTGGTTTGAAGAGCTTTTGTGTGGAAGACTTTGCAATACTGTCTGCTAAATGCTCCTTGCACTCAGATAGGGAATCTTCACTTGAGAATTCCTCCTCCACCTCTTCCTCAACGATTGGCGGTGTTAAGTGCGTCAACAATGGAGCAGCTTGCGCTTCTACATGGAGAGTCTGAAGCAGCAGATCAAGCTTCTCATTCAGTGTCGAACACTAGAATACAAAGATAGATAGTAATTAGCTGACTAGAAGAGAATAACAGCTACAAAACTAGATAGTGATGAAGGGGTTAATAGATGAAATTACAGCTCTTTTACTCAGGATAGCATTTATCAAATACCAAGAGTTACACGAAAGGAGCTAGGAGACAGCAAATACTGAAATAAACTGAGTTGTACTTCAGAATGTCTTAAATTTTAAAATTATATTACATTTGATCTGGTTGGTTCCATTTGTGTGCCTCCATATATATGTGGTTACTGAGACACTGTCTGAGCTCAAATTTGAGGAACAGCAACAGGTTAATATCCAAATACCATTACCACCTGGAATTAAAATGGATTTCTATTTGGATTGCTTACACAAAATAGTCCAAAATGGTGAAGTGAAATCACCTTCAGAAGTCACATAATAAGTCAAATAAAGACCACCTGTGTGCAATCTAAGTGTCACATGATCTATGTATATATACACCTGCTCTGAAAGGCCCCAGAGTCTGCAACACCACTGAGCAAGGGGCACCACCAATCAGGCGGCACCATGAAGACCAAGGAGCTCTCCAGACAGGTCAGGTACAAAGTTGTACAGATCAGGGTTGGGTTATAAAAATATCCAAAACTTTGAACATCCCACGGAGCACCATTAAATCCATTATTAAAAAATGGAATATGGCACCACAACAAACCTCCCAAGAGAGGGCAGCCCTCCAATGTGCCATCCTTTGAAAGGGGGGGGGGGCAGCGTTTTAGTGAGAGCCACTTTCGTTTAGTAGTATTGTATATTTTTAAGTCTTCAGATGAACCATTAAGTGATTATTGTATAATTGACTAATGTTACTTATTGATCTGCTGCTTTAACCTTTGCATCATGTTAAAAACTGTGTAGATGATGTGGTTAGGATTGTGGTTTGCCGGCAAGGTGCTCTGTGCGAGATACTGATTGCTTACACTTTCACTATGGCAACAGTGAAGTATTTGTATTCTGAGCTCCGCTTCCTCTGACGTGCCGCTAATGAAGTCACATAGTATTTGACGTAATGCACATAGGGCGGGACAGAGGAATCGGCCAAATGCGGTGGAATCTGCTGTCTGCCGCTTCTTACCATGAGCTAAGGCTGGACTTAATTCTTGCTGTGGGAGGAGCGGGTGGGAGAGAGTTTAACGAGCGGGTTGAGGTGGATGGGGTTATTCATGCTGAGAGACACTTCAAAGCTTCCTGCTGTTTGCTTTTAAATGCGATCTTACTTGCTAATGCGAGTCATTTTAATAAAACCTTTTATCTACTTGTATGCACTATGTTCTCTATTTATCCTTTGCATAAGTAATATGCACAAGAAGAGGACCGTTTCTTGCCAACTAAAGAGGGAAAAGAGTGAATTGTGGAATTAAATATAACAAGAGTGCACATTCAGACCTTTGTAAGAGAGGTCTGAGAAGGAGGTGACCAGACTGTTTGGGAAGGGGTGTTCATGCGTGGGGAGTGGTGGATTGGTGGAACACAATAGGGCGGGCACAGGAGTAGTGGAAACCTGTCACTAATTGAATTGACTTGTCTATGGACTCAATTGCTATTTAAGAAGAACATTTAAAGGGATATTATTGGTTTTTGTTGTATTCTTTACTTTCATTTGATAGTAATTTAATTCACAGCGTATGGATATTCACATTGATTTGATTTAGTGGATGTGACACTTGACAATACATTGTTTTTAGCAATTTTTTTCACTTGGTTTCACTTTATTTCACATTTGAAGAGGAATGCATATCTGTACGTTGTGATTTTTGTGCTTAGGAGATATAGATATTTAGGGCAGCACTGTTCTAGTATTTGTTGGTCATTCACTTATATATTTAGTGTAGGCAGCAGGCAGTTGACCTGTATTGGCGCAAGATTATTTTGTACATATTTGGTATACTCAAATTCAACCTGGAACTTTCTGTGATAATGAAAGACAGTAGAATTATGTTCTTATAAATCCAATGATTAGCACTATAGTAAGCCACTGATTTAGCAAGCTAAACCTGGACATTTCAACAACAGTTTTCCCATGTGGTAATTAGTGTGTTCCAAAATGATTAAATTATATTTCCTTATCTAAACCCCCCCAATAAATGTAATATACTGCAGCCTACCATTCCTTAGATATGATCCCTGCATTAGTTTTTCTTAGACTTTTTTCCCTTTATTTTGTTCTTAATTTTTTTTAGAAAAAAACCTGTTGCTGTAACTGCCTAAAAAGTGTTAGCTGGAGTTTTGTTTTCATGTGTCAGTCAAATCCATCTAAAACTGCCAGTACACCTAACACTACCTCCCCATCTTGATACAGGAAGTGTGTTACTGGTCGAATCACCAGGTGAAAATAAAGGGGGAAAAAAGCCTAAAACAAAAAAAAAGGAAGAAGAAAACCAATGCAGCCATTACATCTAATGGCTTGTTCACACCGAAAGTGTGTGCATTCCAGAGCGGTAGCTGCTGGAACGCACCACAAGCCCTATTTTATATAATACAATGCACCGCCACGCCCCCTCCCCAAAACACAAGGGGAAGCTTCTCAGCGATCGCAGTGCGTTCCAGCAGCTACCGCTCTGGAACGCACATGCTTACGGTGTAAACAAGGCCTTAGTGATGGTGAGCTGCAATATGTAAAAGTTTTGATTTTGGGTTTGGATACACTTTAAGTATCTGAAACAGCCTGTAAATAACAAAATCTTTTCTTACTATTTTAAAAGAAATTTCAAAAGAGTTAACTAACAAGATGGCTATTTGCTGCTTCCCACTAAACATATTGCATCAATAAAATCTAATTATTGAAAGATTTTAAATACAAGTTAAATGTAAAATGAAACATCAGTATATACAAAGATATGCAGAACATTTTCAGTGTGCACATGTTTTAAACATCTACAATGCCTATAGGCAGCATGAAAGGGCTTTTATTTTAAAAATACCAATTTACAGTTACCTTTATTGCCATTGCTTCTGCCTCCTCTGAATTTTCCATTGGCTTTTCATAGGTTTTCCCAACCTTTGCAACAAAGTCTTTCACTGTCTCGCACAAAACCCTGCAGGAGGAAACACGAGAAAAGATTGCCTTTAAATGCCAATCATTATTGCTCTACACGCATTATTTTTATATACAGAACAGGTTCAACAGTATAGCTCATTTTGCCATAATGGAGCACTTCTGCTAAACAAACATCACCACGTTAACAATTAAGCAGTATGCTCTATCCCTCATACTAATGTATCATGGGGGCCTCTAAGGTACATAAACACATCTATAAAAACAAAAAAATCAAGAATGCAGTGCAGTATATTTAGATGAACCCATATTTACTATGAGGCTTAACCCTTTCGCTGCCAAGGCCTTTTTTTGCACACGTAATAATACACATTTTAAAGCTGAAAATTACTTAAAAACACCCAATTATATAATTTTCTGAAAGCAAAGACACTGTAGAATAAAATGGTGGCAGTAGCAAATTTTTACGCCTCATGATATTAGCGCAACTCTTTATCAAGCTCAAAAATGTAGTAAAAAATGCACTTAAGTAAAAAGCACAATACCCATTTTTTTTGTAAAACATAAAAGATTAGGTTAGGATGAGTAAAAAGATACCCCACATGCCCATGTTAAAGTTGTGTGCATCTGTGAAACGGTGACAAAATACCACAGCCCAAATTGTCCACAGGTGATGCTGTAAAAGCCCCTACAGGTCATCAGTTTAGAGATATCCGTGAATATTGGCCCGAGAATTATTGCTATTACTCTGGCGCACGCGGCAATACCTAACATGTGTAGTGTAATCGCCATTTGTTTACGTAGACGCAACAGACATGTGTTTACGATAGTACCTGCTCGCTTGGCCGGGGGACTTTAAACGTTTTTTTTAGTATTATTTGTTAATCTTATTTTTTTTTTACTTTACTTAATTGCTATTATATAAAGGGGCTTACAAGCACTTCACCGGCCTGTGGAAGCGATCTGGTGACAGCTCACCCGCCAGAGCCGCTTCCAGTGTAGCCAGTTCAACCACCGGGAGTCTGTTTAAAAGGGGCCCGCTGCCAGCGACATGACATACGTCGGTGGCAGCGAAAGGGTTAAAATGATGACTGCATACATTGTACACGTTTACGCAGTGAGATGTGGAATGCACTATGCATGTATCAAGGCCTATTTTTGCAAAACAATTTCATGCCAATCATACAATTTTCACATTTACAAGCAGCTAAAGAGGAACTTTGCCCAAATCTTCAAAAACACAACAAAGGCACTGTTAGAAATGTTTAGTAATGGCAATCTATCCCTCTCCCTTTACTTCCTGAAAATCTGGCACATGTGACTAGGACGTGTGACCATGCATATCATCTCCGGGGAGAAAATTGCCTTTCACTGAGATCTCGTGGGAATACAGATGAGATTTCCCAGCAATGCTCTGCTGATGTAACCTTCCCAGAATGCAATGCTTGGACACAATTACATCATTTGTGCCAAAGTTGACCAGGAAATAGAAAAAAGGAAATTGTAAATCAAATAAAAATATGTTTAGCTAATGAATGCAAAATGATCTCATATCAGAATGCAGAGCTGTATTCTGATGTGATTTTTAGTCAAAGGGGGTAAAGGTCAGCTTTAAGTATAACTGTAGAGGATCTCACTTACAAAACACCTTTTTTCCACAGCCGTATTGAACATTACTTTAACGCACAAACAGGAATAAACTCCCACCAGTGTAATGCCTTTGTAAGCTATGGAAAACCAATACATAAGAAGCCCAATGAGTGCCCAAAGTGACAGTGTGACCAGTCACTCACTTTGCAGAGGATATGACTACAGAATGCTTGTCTGAATTCAGAATCTTAGCCAGATGGGTTGCCACTGAGTCTTCATATGCAGATATCTGAAACTAGAAAGAAGGTGCCATTTGATCTGTATGCATTTTTCTATATAACAAAAAAATTACAGAATAATGGAGATGAAAACAAGCTGTGTGTGGGAGACGGCCTTGAATGACACACCTAATTTTGGAAATTTTCACCGGAGAGATACATTTTAATGACAACCCTACATTTATTCAGCATGTATCGTGTGCAATTTGCCTAATCTGAAGACGTCACAGACCAGGAAATAGCTAACTGAGAAGTTTGTAGGGAAACTCCACCCCATAGACTTTATGAGTGTGTATTACATGTAAGAAAAATCTCTTGGGGGTTTAATCATTCCTGAATCACGTCATGACTTCAAAGATTCTTCTCCACACTCCCACAGGTGACTGGAGTGGTAGGCCAATGAAGGGATAGCAAGCATATACTGCTGCAGTGCCCAGCATTAAAGTGAACCTGATGCTTTGCTTTGCATGAGCAAAAGTATAGTTTCACTTCAAAATTTGCAGAAATTGTTAAACCTAATAGCAAAGTTCTTTGTTACTTACAAATTCAACTTCAGACAGTGTATTGTTGGCAGAACAGCATGTACTAACCTCGTCAGACTCCTCTTCTGGAGATATAGGAAGAATAGATACCTTTGAAGGTAATTTCAGCTCATATGACATTATACTCCATCTGCAATACACAGACATTATCTGGTGTCTAAGCATTTACTACTTTCACCGGATAAACATAAGAGTACATATACAGTATACAGGTATACATATTTCATATCTTTTAGTACTACAAACTTTAATTAAATATCTTATTAGAATTTTAGGAAAAATACTCATAGCTTTGAAGGTGATAAACATCTTAGCATCTTTAGAAGGCAGACATGCAAAACCAGCCAGAGACTTTAAAGATAAGTCTCCAACAGCTTTGCATGTGTAGATTCTACAAATTTTGCTCAATATTCTTGTCAACATTACTAAAACTCTATTAGGCTGGATGGAGAACGGTTGGTGAACAGGAACTTTCACGTCTCACTACAGTTCCTAAGTTTGAGATTTGGGGGCTGACTTGTTTCGTGCTGTGCATTTTTACCACGATTTGGGGTAACAAACGCGCGACAAATGCGCGTTTTCGAGGGCTATCCTGCTGTATCCTAATGGATATGCGCAGAAAATATGCTCCAAAGAAGCTCCTGTACTTCTTTGGGCGTAGGGCATTTTTCAGAGCGTTCCTACGCGCTGAAATACGCTCAGGTGGGAACCATGCCCATAGGCAATTATTGGTTTTCACAAGTTGAGCGTTTTACAGCGTGTAGGAACGCACTGTAAAACGCCCAGGTGTGAACCAGGCCTTAGGGCTGATGTTCTGCTTGAAGGCCAACTCCTCTCATGCGTCTTTAGAATTACCCTGCATTTGTCAGAAATGGAGAAGGATTTGGGGGGTCATTGTAGACCACAAACTGAAAGGTAGTTTGCAGTGCCAGGCTGCTGTAAAACAAAGCTAGCAGGGTCTTGTCCTGTATTAAAAAGGGGATGTATTGCAGGGAAAAGTCTATAATTTTGCCACTTTATAGATCATTGGTTCGACCTCATCTGGAGTACGCGGTCCAGTTCTGGTCACCAGTACTAAGAAAAGATGTCCTTGAGTTGGAAAAAGTCCAGCGGAGGGCAACCAAACTAATTAGGGGTATGGAGGACCAGAGCTACGAGACAAGGCTACTAAATGTAAACATGTTCACATTGGAGGTGAGGAGATTAAGGGGGGATATGATCTCCATGTACAAAATGTTCAATGGTGGTAGCAACATTAGCGATAAACTGTTTAAAATTAACTCCATTACAAAAACTAGAGGCCACCACCTAAAATTTGGTGGAAAAAAATTCCAGCACAAGGGGCGAAGGGGGTTCTTCACAGTAAGATCAGTTAGGGTCTGGAACTCACTGCCACAGGCGGTGATTTCAGCAAAGAATGTGGAATTGTTCAAGAAACTTTTGGACGATTTCTTAAGGGACCGTAATATACAGGGGTACAGGTACTCCTAGAATGAGATCCTAATAGGTTGGACTTGATGGACTAATGTCTTTATTCAACCTCAAATACTATGTAACTGTCTCTATCCATCCTATCCTCAGCCCTTACAATTTTCTGTGGGATTTGTGTTCCAGAGAAGGGTTTTCCTATGATTTTTACACAAATCTCAGCTTTGAACAACATACGGACTGTAATTGTCCCACGGACAGTTTTTCTCATTTTAGCTGTGGATCACTGCAGCTACTTCAGAGATGAAATAGTATCTTGATTACTCTTGAACTGATACTATTCATTATCAAATCATTTGTTGAGTTAAAAAGCGTAGGTGATCTTTCCCTTTTATTATTGCACACATTTTTAACACAGGTTTGAATCCCTAAAGCTAGCTAATGGGAGGGTCAGAATGCTTGCTGTTCTTGATAAATGTTGGCCTATAAGATATGCTCTCTCTTTAGTACAACACAATAACACTCTAAAGAGGTTTTTTGGGCAGGTAGATTGAGCTGAACAATGCGAGCTCCCCCTGTGTCTCCTAATGTCCTAAAGCAATCCTGGAACAAGTAGAGGTGAGGCACTGATTTTAAAAAGTGTAGTTCCACTTTTGCAGTCAAATTTGAGAAAACCTCTCTGTATGTTTGTTGCGTGTTCCCATTCACACAACATACCCCAAAAAAGTTTTCTTTTCTTACCTTTTAGCTCTTTTTTTTTCTTTTGGTGAAGACTTTTGTGCAGATGCCAACCTACTCTGAGTAGTAGTGCGAGAGTGAAACTATAGTGACAGACTGAGCTTCCTCTCATTAGAACACAATGCCTCAAAGGCTTTAACCCTTTGTTAGGACAGACAGTGTTCAAATCTAGTTTACAACTGATAACGAGACGTGGTTAAACATAACTTTGCACAACCCCCTCCTTCAAATAACACATAGGAAGGTTAGGTAGGATTTTTAAGCAAGTATAAAACATTTTTAAATGTTAGCGGCAATTTTTTAAGTTATGTTATGTAAATCGGGAACACAAAACATAAAATAGGTGTCATCCCAATTTGCCTGCAAAAGTGGAACTGCACTTTAAATCAGATCAGCCAGAATGTGATAAAGCAGAATGGCTCTGGTGAGGCAATTCCCAACAAACACAGGATGTCCCTCAAACAAGAGAACAATAAATTGAAGGCCTACATTTAATTAAATGACAGCGCCAAGCAAAAACAATACAAGTGTCCGAAAACTTTTTCAGATCTACTGTTAGTACTGATAAAAGATTTGCTTTGTAGCAGTCTACAACAGCTATATATGACCACAAAAAAAATCAATAACACTCAACTAAAACAGCAACAAACAATGTAAACAACTCAATTATTCATCAGATGGCTTTTACTTTTCAGACAAGCTCAATTTCTGTAAAGAATGTGAAAAACAGAAAGAGAATAATAATATAAAATGGAAATCAGAAGGCAGGAAGAAACCACTGTGGACCACAAAGTAAAGGACTACAAGCAATACTGAAAAAAAGAGCAGTGCAACAAGACTTTCATCCAGAACAAATGAAGGTCTAAAAATGACTTATTACCATTTATAAAACCAGCTTATATATTAAGCCTATAATTTACTATTCCGTCAGCACTTCTTGTGGAAATTAAAGAGAAATGTTCTATTTAACATTAACAATAATAATTCTATTACAAAACGACCATCACAAAAACAGAAGAATCACAGCTCACAGCGAAGATGATCCAAGTATAAAGCTACTATTACCCTATAGAATTCATGTACATTTTAAAAAGTGCAACTCCATCTTTATCTGAATTTTATATTTAATCATTTTTATTGGGTTTTCTTTAAAAGGAGAACTATGGGGTTAAGGCTTTTCCCCATAGTTCTCCTTAGGGTAACGGGAGGACTCAAACTAGCGTCCTCCCGTCACCCAAAGCTCAGTATACCGCGAGCTGTAGCTCGCGGTATACTGAGACGCCGCAGCTGAAGCGGATCCCAACAATTATGCCGGGATCCGCCCAGCTGCTTGACTGACAGCTGGCTCTGCCTATCTAGAGGGAGAGCCAGCTGTACCCGCCCCCTCCCCCGTCCGTTCCCCCAGTCAGCGCTGGCAGATCGGAGCGGGGAGGGGGGAATCCAGCCCCTCCCCCTGTCACGGGAGAGAGCCGTGACAGGATCGAGAGGGGAGTGAACGCAGTTATATGTTTGCTCACCTCCCGATCTACTGAGCCGACCTGTGACAGTCTCATTGTCACAGGTTGCCTAGAACTATGAGGTGAGTGAAATGCACTCGCCTCATAGTTCTCCTTTAAACAAAAAAAGACATTTGTACACAGGTGTGAATCTTAAAGCCAATAGGTTACAGTAGTCTCATACAATGTACTAGGTAATGTTATATTATCACACCAAGTACATATGGTCATCATAGAATTAGTAGCATGCTCAGATGTAGCAAGCAGTAGTACACTAGGAAACGCCAAAGTTCTTACAGCATAAAAAGCCATGGTAAGACGCTGTCCCAAAAGACGAGAGGGAGCAGTGTCCCTCAATGATAATCAGAGTACAAAAAATAAGGTTTTTGTACCTGCCATAAAATCTTTTTCTTGGAGTCCACTGAAGGACACAGGATTTAGGAAGAAACAATTGGGTTACAGGCCCTGTACAACCCCACCTCCAAACATTATGCCTCAATTATGTGAACAGCACATAGGCCAAAAAAACAGAGACCCCCTCTTTTGGACCTGTGTCTATCAATGATCTCCTAGAAAAATCGTATTTTCTTTATCGGCCATTAAGGGACACAGAAATTCAGAAACAAAAGCAGTCCAACCGAGTGGTGGCAACAGCCACTGATGAATTTAGGAAAGGAACATGAGCCATCTGCAATGGCCAGATGGACTAACACACAAATAAGAACCAGGGGAGGTGATGTTCCCTTCAGAACATGGGAACTGCCGACGACGCAAGGGAGGTCACATAGGATCAGCTGAATGCTTGGACCAGGGCAAGAATCACTGCAAAAGGAAATAACACAAAGCCCACAACCACAGAAGTTGTGATCCAAGCAACTACCAACAGGTGGAGCAATATAACCTCCCAAATGGGGAGAACTTAGTGACAACAAGAATACTCAACAGAGTAAGAACAGGTGGTTTAAGGATGACAAAAGACCCAAGCCACAAACTTTGACCTAGGCATCAGGGAATTAAGCATCCAAGAAGGAGTAGGGATATCTAGGCTACCCATTAAAATCTTGTATCGTATAATCACGATAGAAAAGTATCTGGAAAATACCCCAAAAGGTCATGGTAAAGGACCTTAGGAGTTGAAGACAACCCCAAGGCAACAGCAAGCCTTGGTTGAGTGAGCGGCTCCATTTGGCCAATCAACGACCGACCCGACCCCTCCTAAACAGGTTGTACACCGGTATATCACCTGCCAAGTTATGTGAGCTGTCCAGACATGTTTCTGGGGAAGCTGTGCCACAGCTCTGGACCTGAAGAACACGCTACTGCCAACAATGTCCACAGACATCTGGTACAATGTAGAGCCCAGTGCCCAAAGGTCACAGGCAAGGCAGTTTAAAAGTGAAAGGCAAGCCAGAAAGGCACAGGCAAGCCCTGCATTCTTCAAGTCCAGTGGGATTCCAATACAGCCTCTAAAGCTGTGATGAGCATACAGCCATCCAGATAACTGCTGTGTAGCTCAAGCAGCATTCTATTAAAATCTTGATTGAAGTTATGGCAAAAAATATAAACGGTGTACCAAGTATTTTGATGGAGAAAAAATAAAGAAAGAAAAAATTAGACTTAAAAAAAAAATGGGTCAGGATTTTTTTCAGCAGAGCTGAGGAAAAGGTGTCCAACCTCCTAAGACACTTAGTTGAGCCATGAAGTTTGGAGGCGAGATTAAATGGGGGCTGGCCTTTAAATCATTTTTGCCAATGTATAAACGTTCTGTAGGCAGCAGCATATAACCCAGTAGTTTCTGAACTCCTATGTTTCTCAATAGGCAAAAAAGAAAATCACATTTTCTCTATAGCTAATGAGTGACACAGGACTAAAGGATTCTATACTACAGAATGCTCAAAAGAAAAAACAACAGAGCAAAATGCAAAGAAAGCGGGTCACAGAGCCATCTGAAAGACCTTACAGCCAAAACTACCAAATATTTAATACCTTTTAGATTTTTTTGCTAAAGCAGGCAAGATGGCCGATTACAGGTTTTACAGGTTTTTCTCAGCACAATCTCGGTCTGTCCTAATGGAAAGGCTTAGGACTGAAATTTGAGGATTGTGTTTCTCTCATTCACTTAATAAACATACAATGGACAAACCACCTCAGACCCCTCACAGCCTCTCCTAACATTGCAAAGAAAGATAAGCCAGTAGAAATGTTAACCCTTAAACTCTAACCCAAGTAAAAACAGTTTAATTTTTCTTATGATTTTTTTTGTGAATGGGAACATATAACAAATATAAAGTAGGTGTTATCCCAATTCGGCTGCAAAAGTGGAAATACACTTTAATGAATGAGATGAAGTTGAACTTTTTTAAAGTGCTTTTTACTTGTTCAAAAATCCTTCCTAGCTTCCCCCTATTTAATGTGCAGGAGGGTTCTGCAGGAAGTTCTGTTTACTCTAGTTACCACTGTCTTTACTGTGCTGGCAGATTTCATTATCTGTTGAAATGTAGAAGTAGAATTGAACACTGTTTAAAGGGTTGAAGACTTGAGATGGAGCTCAGTCCGTCCCCTGTTTGTCCCTCTACTTTCACTTTTAAACTGCTTATAGTAGCCTTGAAAGTACACAAAGGCCTTCACCCAGAAACATCTAAAAAGGCAAGAAATATATAAATGTTTAATGCATGCTGTGTGAATGGGAACACATAACACATATATAGAGGAGTTTTCTCAAATTTGAACTCAAACTAAGTTAAGTAAAATGATTTAACAGAATGTGTGGGATGATCACAAGTTTAAACATGGAGTTTTCCTTTCAGGTACATAACTCTGTTGCAAATCTCACTATTCAGAAAAGCTGTTATTTATTCTTTCCTATCCCATAATACTCTTCCATCAGTCAGACACCCTTAGCCAGTTTACTCTAGTGTGATCCTAACCACCAAAAAGATCACAAAGTGTACGCAAATGCAAATTATACATGTGACAATGTCACATAATAACAAGGTAATGCTACCAGGTACAGGATCATTTGATTTCCTTAGGAGGAACAGTCAAGCAAAAACATTGCTCATACGACAGAGAATGTTTCCAAAATTTGAGTTCTACAGACAACAGATTTCTAAGCAAATTTATTTTGTGACAATCTCTGAGTTTTCTAATACTCTCTGAGTATTTCATTTGTAATCACTCTTTCTTCCATCCATTATATAATATCTTAGGGTAGCTTCTTGATAAATAAATATATAGAAAGCCAGAAAATACGACAAAAACAGCAAACCAGGCAGACACAGTATACAATACCCAGTCAGAGTTTCTACATAAAGATTACATAAAATAATGTGTACCTGACACATTTTTCTAAGCCAAGCATGTCATTCAAGCTCGGTTACTATTATTGTCCTCTCTTAAGCATCCAGCATAAGGCCTCATGCACACACAACGCAAGAGCAAAATTGTATATTGCGTATATACGCGCATATATGTGCGTATGTATACGCGCGTATATGCAATACCAGAATGCATCATTCGTAATAGAAATTTCAATGAACTGTACGCACGTATATGCATCTCGGGTCCATTCTGTTTCTGCACAGCGCAAATATACGGCTCCATACACAGCTATGTGTATGGAGCCATTTATTTGCATATGCTGCATATGGGACAATACGTGCAAATACGCAGCGTATTGTACGGTAGTGTGGATGAGGCCTAAGACATTAAAGCATAATGGTTTTGTAGTGATGCACATCTTGCACATGGTATTAACTTAATTTTCTTTCAATGTAACTTTAAAATAGTCCCAAGACAAATGGCAACTTACCGGTCCAGCATCTTTGTACTTGCACGTTCCAATTTTTCCAGAATCTGAGGCAGTTGTGTATCATCATCACAGGAGCCACCCCAGCCGAGAACCCGAGCCAAGTCATTTCCAGTACCCAGAGGAAGAACACCCAACTGACACTAAAATTACAAACACAGATTGAAAAAGATTGGACAAGACAGGTACACAAACTTTAATCATTCTATAAATAGATCATTTTAGATCATTCACAACCACGAAGGAAAACATGATCTGGTTACTTCATGAAACTTGTTTGTGGTTAAACCCCCATCCCTGATCTTTTCCCAAGTCTCACTTTTATTACCCCATTTTTGCTAGGTATTTGCTGTCTTGGGACCCCAAACATATGGACATTTTTCTATACTAACCAATCAATTTAGCAGTCCCTGAAGATCAGACCCAGTATGTTTTGTTTACAATGAATATCATTTAAAACATATATTATGGTGTCTTTAGCAATGTGTAAATCTCTGCAGCAATCATGTGCCAAAAGCCAATATTCACACAGGAACAAGCACACATTTGATGTTCTCTTTCATAAACATGCCTAAAACAAATTGCGAAATGCTATGTCAATATAACATTTAAACAAAAAACCACATAGCCAAACTAATATGTTACAGCTGTATGCATTTTAATTGTATAGATGTAAATGGGCACTGTGCTGTATGAAATAAATGGGCAAATAAATGCAGTGATCTAGAGAAGTGTTGCTTTTTCAACCATCTAAAGATATTTCACATACTGACCTGTTTATGTAAGCTTAATTTATCTATCTCAGACAAAACCCAGCCAACACTTCCATCTCCCCCACACACAAGAATTCGGAAATTATCAAACTTCTGAAATAATCGTAAACTAAAAGAAAAGGAAATTACAGGTTTAAATCAATAAACATTTTTTTGTGAAGTTTACAGAATCATTTAAGTCCAAGGAAACAATATGTTTCAAAGTCCTCACCCTAAATGAGGTCCCCCGTTCATCAAGTCAAACACCTGAGCAGGATTAAGCAACTGTTTGAACCGCCGGAGGAATTTCACACCCTGATTGTCTCCACTTTTGGAATTAACAAATACAAGCAGCGGACTGGCACAGGAGGGTGGGCAGGTCGCTTTCCAGAACCCTGGCATAATGAGAAATCAGATTTAGTAACATTTGAATACACAATGAATTAAATGTATACAAAGATCTATTGCCATTTAATGCAGCCTAACATTCTGCATTTTAGAAATACTGCCCTGTATTTCCTGAGATACGGACCAAAAATGCTTAAAGTATAACTCCATGTTTTAAGTACAAGAACTGACAGCAAACTGTTGCTGGTAAGGAATTCCCAAGCCTGCATTGACAAAAGACCAGCGAGTATCAAAAGCACCCATCAGAAAGAAAATGCATACAAAGTTCACACATTAACTATGCAGTCTTCAGTATCTTCTTTTAAGTTATGCACATCCCTTATCATTCAGTTATAAACTGATAATTTTCTTGTTCCACCCTCACTTCAGGGAATGGATGCAATTCTAAGAAAGGATCTTACATGAAAGCACAGTATGCAATGGCTGGCATGATGGCAACATTTTGTGCAAAACACTAGATGATATATAGATAGTACGCACAAAATGTTTTGTACTGCCTTACAACACTGCAACATAATACTTGGTAAAAAGACAACATTCTTTGGGTACTTACCATCAGAATCTATACTGTTAAGTGCTGTTGGAGGTATTATAGACACCTTGCATTGGCCGAGTGGACACTTCCGAGGGTACTGGTCCTTGCAAGCAGTATGTACCTGCAGAACATCGTATCAAAAGGAATAAAAGCCTACATTTCAATTGACTGCAACACAAAATAGAATCTTTATTGCAGTGTATTCATAATAAAACTCTTTTTTTTTTTAAGTTAGCACACATCCAGGATCATTTGCCCCCACCTCAATGCCCACCGTCGAACTTTCCTCACCCTAATGCTGTGCCCATTGGCCCTGTTCTTGTCCTGGAGGTATGCTAGCTCCTTTCAGATCAGCTGCTTCTGGTGGCAGCTGAAGGCAAAGTGTTTGGCAACAATTGTAAAGAGCTGCAGGGACTCATTCAACATCAGCAGGGCCACAGACATCAGTAGCACCCTCGCTTCAAAATACCACCTGGTATGTCTCCAAGTTCTTCACTGCCAGCAAAGCCTCAGCTTGGCACAGCACACCAGTCACCTTCCACTACTTTTGGAGCCAGCAAAGTCTCGGTTCAACACAGCACCCTCATTGGTTCATTCTTCTTTGGAAACCTGCAAGGCTTTGGTGCAGCAGTGGGCCCCTGCCATCTCCAGCTTCTCCAATACCAGCAGAGTCTCAGTCTAGCACAGCACCCCCAACCACCTCCCCACAGGGAGGAATCACTCCGCCAAAGCAGCAAAGAAACGTCATCCATGCCACGAGCTGTGCTCGGAAAACCAGTTGTAGTGAAAAGGGTAAGGGCGCATGGGTAAAGAAGATAGCTTAAGACTGCCTGCAATGTTGAAGATAAGGATGTATCTAAGGGGCACTTTGCTGTGTCTGCACAGGAAGTACTGGGGGTACATGGGATAAGCTGGGGAGTTGGAGGCATTGTGACTATGTTTAAGGATGAGAGGGGGCCATTAGTTTGTGAAAAGATGGGGAGGCTGGCCCCTTCTCACTACACTACACACTGGCTGCCGTCATACTCCTCTCCTCCACCATCTGCCCACCCTTGTACCTTCTGCACAAACTGGGCACCGTCTTACCCTCGACTCTCCTCTCCCACTTATACTTCCCACTGTCATACCCTCTGCATTCCTCTCGAGGTTCATACTGCCTACTGTCATCCCTCAAGCACTCCTCTTCTGCTCATACAGCCTGCCTTCATACCACACACTCCTTTCCTCAACACGTTAACTGATGTCATACCTTCTGCACTCCTGCCCCGCACATATTGGTCGCTGCCATACACTCCACACTCCCCTCATATTGCCTGTTGTTCATACCCCAGACACACCACTCCTATACATATGCTGCCCACTGTCACACCGCCGCACTCCTGCCCTATGCATATTGTCCACTGCCATACCCTCTACGCTGTTCTTCTGCACATACTGGACACTGACTTATTGTCAACTATACTGCTTTCAAAAACACTTCTGTAGCAAGGTTTGAAATATCCCCAACCTTGCCCATTCTGGAAAGGGCACACTTTTGCTAGTAGGCTACAATGGGAAAACATGTAGATACAAACATATGGTAATGTACAGATATACATCTTTGCCATCATAGTATATAGAGCCACACTTTGGATACAGAAAAATGTGACAATTCTTCATAACAATTAGAAAATGATCTGAAAAGCAACAACATTGTGGGACATTTAGTGCTGTCTGATCTCAGCTCTGTATTGACACAATGGGACGTAGGTTTTAAAATTTTTATTCCACCTTTTGGCCTCCCCAAAAAATATAATACATAACCAATATATTAAATAGTCTTTTCCTTCGTTTTTTATTTAATAGAAGTTACGATTTTTGAAAATCAGGCTTCAAAAAAAAAAAAAAAAAAAGATGGTAGTTTGTTACACTGATTTGTCTGCTCTGCATAGACTTTATCTTCCCTATTGAATCTCAAATGTTTGTTTAGAGAAAAATTTCAGCAGGCTGTTACAAAAAAAAAAAAAAGGGTGCCTGAAATGTCAGCAATAAAAGAGAGATTGAAACGCACAATATTTTTTCTAGAATAGGCATGGAAAGTGTTTCTTTTTTTCATGGATATTTACTTTCGCAAATCCCACTCTTGTTCAAATGGTATGATCAAGTATGGAATAGTTTTGTACAACATTCATTTTTCAAGAACCCAAATATTAAAACATTCAATATGCTTATGCCCAGGCACACAATGCACCAACGTGTTGGAAATGCTGATTATTATCTAGTACAATTAAAAGTCTGCTCATTGCTCACCATTGCTTTACACCAAAGGCACCGCCAATCCTGTAGACGTAAGACACTGCCACAGGTTTTGTCACAAACAGCACATTTGGCACTAACAGGAAGGTTTCCCTCTAGCCACTGATGGGGCATTGCTATCTGTAGAGGCAAACATTGTGAAAAATGTTACCAGATACTGTATCTGTAATAGAAAGGGGACTATAAAAATAACAATACTGTATATGAAATGTACTCCAGCTGAAAAGTAGAGGACTCCACAAAAGGAAGGGGTCTGTATTTCTGGACTAGGATATCTGCCAGGAATTGCTGTCTGTGTTGCCGGTACGGCATCGTTACCAGAACAGCATTTAAGAAGAACTTTTGTAAACATGGGTACAGACGGTAGTAATGACAAAATGCTCTTAAAAGTACACCCA